TCAGGGCCTAAACCGGTCCATATGCATAGATTTGTGCATTGAATCTGCATATGAACATTTTCATGAACAAATCAACTTTCATACTAAAATGAATTCTAAATTAATGAAAAAAATGCAGGAATACCTGAAACCACACATAAAAAGATCACATACTCTGCTACTCATGCTCATTTAGAACACTACAATTACATTATCATTATAACGAGGATAAGAGCAAATTGTGAATTTGCTGGGACGTTTTCCCACATTAATAAATTGGAATAACCCACGTGAATAATTCATTATTAGTGAATAAGACCCACTGTCTGTCATATGTCTTTGAATATCAGTTGTAACTAGGGTTGCAAAAAGGTGGAAAATTTCCAGTAAATTTTGAAAATATTCGAGAAATTTTGGAAACTTGCCAGGATTTTTTGGAATATTCCAGGGATTTTTGGAAAATTTCCGGAAATTTTCCACCCCTTTGCAACCCTAGTTGTAACACAGTCACGTTTTCCAACAGATCTTAAAAAATACTTTTTTCACAAAAATTCAAAATTGTAAAAATGTAATGTATGCTAAACTTCGATTTGCATCTGTTCTTTATTATATTTGCTTGTGATTTAATTCAATCACTTTTACTGGTTTATCAAGAAACGCTATGTAAGTATCACCATCTAAATTAAATGTTTGAAACAGGATAACCAGATCTACAAAAGTTTCATATGGTAACCAGATGTACCGCTCGTGTGTAACTTCCTTTTGTGACAACTAGCCACAATCTCCATTATACACACACGAGGCTCGTAAACAAACACTGATTGTTGTCATGAAAAAGTTTTCAGAACTCACAACAGTCATTTTTAATGCAAACACCATGTATTTTCTCACATTGAGAGCGGAGGACAATGAAATCAACCCTCGAATCGAATTAATTAGCGGGTCTGTTCACACTCGACACATGTTTGGAGTTTGTCTGATTAACCTTATCAAGTGATTTTTTAATATGCATGCTTTGCTTTATTTTATTGCATGTAGTTGGGGTCTTTGAGACTCTAAACATGGACATTTAATGCATATTATCAAAAAACATTAAAACATCGGATTTATGCTGCCTGACAAGTATATTTAGAGCTATTCAAATGTTTTGTTTGGAGTCCCTAGGCCAAGATGGTTTATTAAAATTCATCAACATCCAGCATTTGTTTAACATTATTTGCACGCTTTGTACATAAATGAACAAAGCAGTGCATAAATATTACTAAAAGATGTCAGAAGGAAAAAGAAGAACAAAAGGTGTGCTAGTAAACACCTGCAGGATCATTCAGGAGACGCTGGAAGCCTTTTAATTAGCGCTAATTATCTTAGCAGAGAATGTGGAAGGGCGAGAGAGGATTGGTGTTTGTGAGTGAGAGATCAACGATTGTGTTCCTGACGGAGCGGCTGAGATAATGAGGCCCGAGAGATGATGATGCACTTCCAGAGCGAACTGGTGCAGTCCTGATAAAGCCTGTTAAACTATTAGTGCCTAAATTATCCATCAGATAACGCCGATTCCTCGTGCTTTTACCTTCCTTTTGTTTCTGTGGTCTTTAAGTGATTTTAAGTGGTTTCTGAAACCAAGATACTTTTCATTTTGCTGCTACTTGAGTTCTGGTCATAGATGAGCAACGTTTGAGCAGAGGCACTTTACATATTGCAACTGTTGCTGTGCATTTATTATAATCAATAGAAGTTAGCCATTCTCAGCTGTATCGTAGTCAACATGTAGTAGATGTGTTTTCAGTGACTCCTGCTGGCAGGCGACTGGAGATTGAGACACAAACATCTGTCTGTCTCGTTGATAAAACTTTATAAGTTTCCATTTGTTAACATTAGTTAGCTAAATTAGTTTACGGAAGCTTGATTCCAACATGGGATAAAAAAATATGTTGCATAAAACATATATAATTGCGACTTATCTGAAAATTCAGACTTTTTTTCTTGCAGTTCTGAGAAAATTGTGAGAAATAAACTCAGAATTGAGTTTTCTACAAACAAAATCAATAATTGTGAGATACAAGCTTGCGATTCTAAAAAAAAAAAAAGTAAAAATTGCAAGATATAAACTAATTGCAAGACATATGCTAGCAATTTTTAAAAAGTCGGAATTGCAAGATATAAACTTGATATCGATATAAACTACGAATTGCGAGATATACACTCATATTTGCAAGATATAAACTTGCAATTCTACAAAACAAAATTAAGAATTGTGAGACATAAACTTGCAATTCTAAAAAAAAGTCAGAATTGCAAAATATAAACTCGCAATTTAAAAAAAAGTCAGAATTGAGAGATATAAACTAAGAATTGTATAATCTTATAAAAATCTATTTTTGTAAAAAAAAATGAAGAATTGCGAGATATAAACTTTCAATTGTACAAAAAATAAGAATTGCAAGATACACTGTAAACTCAATTCTAAAAAAAAAAGTCACAATTGCGAGAGATAAACTCGCAATTCTACAAAAAAAGTCAGAATTGTGAGATAAAAAGCTCCATTCTTATGAATCGCATTGTAGTTTTGCACCGGTTCCCTCTTATTATGCATGCTATTTATAAATGCTTTAAAATCCAATAAAGCATATGAAAGTGTTTTTGACAGTCTCTGCAGTTATACTCCAGTGGTTCATTTGGCCAGCGCTAATAAACAAGGAGCCAATCCCAGAATCCACGGCACGTTTCTGCTGACTGTCTAAATAAGTATTTTTGCTGTCTGAAGATGCAGTGCAGCACCCGAGAGAAAACTGCTCACGACCTGCTATTACCCTTAAGAGAACAGCAACTCAATGAGTCTAACGAGGGCCAACCGTAATTAAACAGTGTCTCTGTGGAGTTAGAGAGCAGTGAACCTGTTAGAGAGATGTAAACAAAACTAGCTGTTGAAAAGCATGTCAAACACACATGCAGTTAAAAAACTGTTGTGAACAATGTTGTGCATGTTGGAAATCGCCATTTTTATTTTTGGCGTGAATTTTTCGCTACGTTGTTTTAGTGGATGTTTGTTTTTGTCATATCTCTCTGACTCTGCTGCACTTCTGCAACATGTAACACGAAAAAACAGCCATTTATTTAGAAATATTCCAGGTATTTCTTCATTATTTCTTTAATCAAATTGTTTCAAGCAAAATATGTTTTCTTGGAAATATTTTTCTAATTGATAATCAGTTAATATGTTTTCTCAATATCACTTTCCATTCTGTTAATTTTTTTTTAATTAAAATCCTTTTAAATAACAAAAGCAAGCTGCTTAATGACAACATTTTGGAGGGAAATATGGATTTGATAAATTCTGTTTTATGTTATATATATGTTTTGTGTTATGTTAGTTGGTTTGTGTGTCTTTAAAACATTTGTTTTGTTTTCAGTGCTATGATAGTATCTCGTCAAAAATTGCAATAAATAAACACAAAAATAACAAAAAATTCTAATTAACTTCAAATGCAAAATATTTAAAATAATTAAATAAATATAAAATAAAAAAAGACTTTTCAAATTTTTTGATTCATTTAAATGTAAATACAACATGTATTTATGTATTTAGAGTGTATTTCTAATATTATATATTTATTATTAAATATTTAAAATGTCTCCCAAATCAAAGGTTGAAAGTGATTAATTAGCATGAAAACATTTTTAATTCATTTACAAAATCAGAATCAAGCATCCCTTCCTAATATTTTGCATACTGTAAGTCTGTTGTATTCACACACTCTCTGTTCTGGATATATATGCCTAAATTGTTAGTTCCACGTTGCTTTTCCTGAGCAAGTTACAATGATACAGTTGTACATTTAGCTCTGCAAAATAGAGCTTCTGCTGATCAGAGGCGCACAAATACGGAAAACAGCTTCATAATGAAGCTCGTACACCTTTCAGCATAGGCCTGCATCTCCTCAAACACAGCTTAATGAAGCTACGGAGAAAACAGCAGCCACATGCATCTGGAGACTGATTTTATTTGTGCAAATACAAACCGATCACCCAGGGACTGAATGAGACTTAATCTGTAATTGCTGAAGATTCACATACAGCAAGTCAGTAATACAGACTGAAGCTCTGGATTTACTGTCATTATTCTAATAATTGTTTAAATATAAATCTAACAGCATTTAGTGTGGTTTATGCTTAAAGGAATAATTCACCCAAAAGTGAAAATTTGCTGAAAATGTGTTCACCCTCAGGCCATCCAAGATGTAAATGAGTTTGTTTCATCATCAGATTTGGAGAAATGTAGCATTGCATCACTGTCTCAGCAATGGATGCTCTGCAGTGAATGGGTGCCGTCAGAATGAGAGTCCAAACAGCTGATAAAAACATCACAATAATCCACAAGTAATCCACAGCACTCCAGTCCATCAGTTAACATCTGGAGAAGACAAAAGCTGCGTGTTTGTAAAAAGCAAAACCATCATTAAAATACAAGTCCATAATTCATAATCCAGTGAAAAAGTCCATCTCCTGTTGTCTCTCACATCAAAATACCCCCATATATTTGTTTAGAGCTGTTTTGGCTCGTAAACAGTGTTTGATCTCTGCAGATTTCTCTCCTGATTCAGACCACTTTTTCACTTGAGGAAGCATTATTATGGATTTTCACCAGAAGCGATGGTTTGAAGTTAAAAACGTCTTAATGCTGGATTAGGTTCAGCTTTTGTCTTCTCCAGACGTTAACTGATGGATTGGAGTGGTATGGATTACTTGTGGATTATTGTGATGCTTCTGTTTGGACTCTCATTCTGACGGCACCCATTCACTGCAGAGCATCCATTTCTGAGCAAGTGATGGAATGCTGCATTTCTCCAAATCTGATGAAGAAACAATCTCATCTACATCTTGCATGGAACAAGAAAAAATTAAGTTTGCCAGTAGAGCAAGAAAAATTATTTATTATCTGGCGCTATTTTGCTTCTCTCGCAAATGTTTTGATGCTTTAACTGTAAAACAGGACTGATTGTGAGCGTCTGTGTGTCTGTCAGGTGTTCGTCCCCTGTGGTTCCTGTCGAAGTCTTCAGCTCCTGAGACACTCTTCACACGCGGCCCGTCTGTCAGCCGCAGCTCCTTGATGAGCTCTGTGTTCTTCAGGGAGACGGGCTGCTAAAAGCTTTAAACACCAACATCTCACCCTGATCCCACAGAAATCAAATCTCTCCTGCCGAAACGCAGTGGATGTGAAGGAAGGAAGAGCGAGACTGTAACTGATCAAAGCAGAGTTAATCACAACATGAGCATGTGTGTTCCTAACTGTTTATGATCATATGCAGATATTACAACAGCAAACAAATCTGCCTTGACTGAACATGAGTAATGTCAGGTTTTCATATCTGTTGCATGTTTGAGCTCATGCATAATAAATAAAAACCAGAAACAGATACGGCCGAGAATGCTGAACTCACTAGTTTTACATGTTTAGGTTTGTTGCTGTGAGATTGCCATGTAATTGCTCGATTTTTCGAAGGGTTTTTAGTGTTTTGCTATGGCATTGCTAGACAGTTACTAGCCAATTACTGTGGTGTTGTTAGGATGTCCTGGATTTTTACTACAGTGTTGTCAATAGTACTGCACTTATACCGTCTTCATGATATAAATGATAAAAAAGTTATATATAATATATACACTGTAACATTAATTAATTTACTCTAGTATCAGTATCAGTATATGTATTTGTATATATGTGTATATATATGTGTATGTGTATATATATGTGTATATATGTATAGATATAAATAGATAAAATGTATGTATAAAGAGTTTGGTTCCAAAACGCTATCAATCCATTTTGATTCATTTGATTAAATTTCCAAAAGTGCATTCATCTTTGCCATGTTACTTTCATTTAGTTGACTAGTGCTATACGCTGTATTAACAAAAACATTAATGACATAAATAAAAACACTTACACTGACAAGCTACGCAATATCGCGTTCATAATCGAATGTGACTCATCTGCGATTATGAACTCGATATTGCAGTGATCTACGGTTCTGTGTATTAAATGCCGCTCCATCTGAAAGCACGTGATGGAGATTTACTATTAATCACAGAACACCGGCTTTACTGATGAGATGCGCATGACAATCACATCTCATTACTGTCTAGAGTGCGTGGAATGGTGCGCTGTGATTGGTTGAACGGATGTATCGCATTCTGCAGAGAAGGGAGACTGGCGTTTGTCGCGGTTTGGAAAAAAAGGGAGAAAACATGACAGAATAACTCGGCGGATATCGCATTTTGCGTAAAATTAAAAATGGACTTTTCAATACCGACCAGATACAATACATATTTTGGGGGAAACTTAAATTTTTTTTTAAAATGCCGTTTATCGCATTTTGGAGCCAAACTCTTCATATATATCAGTCTAGTATCAGTCTAATCTAGTACTCGTATCAGTAAAGTAATGCCGCAATAAACGAAAGAAACGATTAATATGTGCGTAAGTCTGCTTTAAAAAATTACACATTCGAACACGATCGGAATGTGCATGCATTGAGAGACATGTTCACATTCTTAGTCTTTTTAACACGGTAAAATTGTGCGTCTTTACATGGACTAAAGAAACGCGGCAAAAACTGACGCCTTAAGGCCAGAATGTGCTTGTCTACGCCATCTACATGGTCAAATTTTACATATTCTGTTTAAAGACGTTTGGCTCCATCTGCCTTCCATATGGTCATTTCATATGGTCATTGCCTGTAGTAATATTTATTATTAAAAAGCATATATATACACTTAATTTCACACGTTCCTTTTAAAGGGTTTTGGCCCCGTCCGCCTTCAATATGGTCATTTCAGAAAGATGTGTGATTCACTCTGAGGGTTGAGACAATAAAATACAGTGTTTAACCCTGTAGTAATATTTATTATAAAGCATGTATATACTTAATTTCACACGTACAGATTTTGGCGGAAACTCAAATTTTTTTTTAAATGCCGTTTATCGCATTTTGGAACCAAACTCTTCATATATATCAGTCTAGTATCAGTCTAATCTAGTACTCGTATCAGTAAAGTAATGCCGCAATAAACGAAAGAAACGATTAATATGTGCGTAAGTCTGCTTTAAAAAATTACACATTCGAACACGATCGGAATGTGCATGCATTGAGAGACATGTTCACATTCTTAGTCTTTTTAACACGGTAAAATTGTGCGTCTTTACATGGACTAAAGAAACGCGGCAAAAACTGACGCCTTAAGGCCAGAATGTGCTTGTCTACGCCATCTACATGGTCAAATTTTACATATTCTGTTTAAAGACGTTTGGCTCCATCTGCCTTCCATATGGTCATTTCATATGGTCATTGCCTGTAGTAATATTTATTATTAAAAAGCATATATATACACTTAATTTCACACGTTCCTTTTAAAGGGTTTTGGCCCCGTCCGCCTTCAATATGGTCATTTCAGAAAGATGTGTGATTCACTCTGAGGGTTGAGACAATAAAATACAGTGTTTAACCCTGTAGTAATATTTATTATAAAGCATGTATATACTTAATTTCACACGTTCCTTTTAAATGATTTTGGTGCCATCCACCTTCCATATGACCAGCAGGAGCCAGTGATGGTGTCACTGTGACCTCCTGACCTCATCTGCCACGTGTTTCCATGGCAGCAGTAAACAAAGACTAGAGAAACGGGAAGGAGAAGCACGGATGGAGATGCATGACCTTTGACAGACGGACTCTTGGGAGAAACACACCCGTGAGACGCACTCAACTCAAACTCTGTCAGGAGTGATGATGGTCATTTTCCTCATACGCTTATGGATATCTCATCACGGGCTCTTTCTTTCGGACATCCCTGTATTGTTAATGCTGTTTGAGAGGTTTCGGCGGATGGGTTGAGAGGTTGTTGGCGTCGGTAAATCCTCATGTGCCCTTTGAAGTGAACGTCAGGGGAGATTTATGCTGTTAACACTTTGTCTCTATGTGAGAATGAATAATAATGTCAAACACAGAGCTGGTTAGTCATCGGCAGACGTGGAGACAGGAGAATATTTACAGCTCACTTGATAACTCTCAGTTTATCTGGAGTCCGAGCTCCTCATGTTACCAGATTGAATATATATATATATATACTGTATATAGAATCTGACCATATGGAAGGCAGATGAGGCCAAACATCTTTAAATGGTCGGAATAAAACAATATGCTTTATTAACATGTGCCATTTTATGATGTGCAAAAATAATGTACCGAAAATGGATCAAATAGATAAACATTTGGCATTTTCCCAGAGGAACATTTTTTGCTCAGATGTTGCTCTTATTAAGCTGATTAAGCTCATGAGATTTAATGGAGTTTATAGAAGTATCAACTTTATTGTTTCTCTTAAAATAGGCTGGAGGAAATGAAAGCACACTGGCTTTAAACTGGATACTTTGGAAATGAACCCCAAGAGATGGGATCAAGAACATGAGATGATGGCTTAGAGCTGCAGAGACTCAGTGAGGATTTGATTCTTTCATTCTTTCTTTGTGTTTTCATCTAGTGAGAATCTGTTGAGCAACATGAAAGTAGTTCATTTTATTTATTTATTTTATTTTTTGCTTAAAAGATCCTCTCTGCTATTAACCCTACTTGCTTTATCATTCACTTTATCATACATGTACATGTATACATATATAATATATACTGTGTATATGATAAATGATAAATGCAGATAAACAATAAATTAAATGAGAAATTAATTATATAATTATATACAATTCAGCTTTATGTATTATTTTATAATTATATTGTATATTGTATATATAATTGTAAAACATTGCATTTATTGTATTTGTGATTTATTTAAACATTTATTATCACATTATTTTCCTATTTTTCACACACACACATATATATATAATACATAAATACTGTATATGTGGTAAATGATAAACACCGATAAATTAAATTAGAAATAAGTTGTATAATTATGTACAATGCAGAGTTCTGTATTATTTTGTGTGTGTGTGTGTGTGTGTGTGGTAAATGATAAATTAAATGAGAAATATATGTATGTATAGCTAGCTAGATAGAATATATAAGAATATATATATATATATAATATAATAGATATATATAGATCTATATAGAATATAGAATATTTATAGATAGCTAGATAGGTATACAGATATAGATATATATTTATATATATTATTTAAACATTTAATAATGCATTATTTTCTTATTTTTCCCTAATATATAATTTTCATTTAATTTTGCAATTTTTTTATTTTTTTTTATTTTTTTATTTTGCCTTATTTTAGTTTTTTTAATGTTTTAATTTCATTTAATTAATTTATTTCAACATTTATTTAGACTATTTGTTTATTTGTTACATTTAGTTTTACAAGACTATTTTCACCCACCGTCTGTGAAATTGTCTGTATAATTGACGTGTTTATTACTCTGTTGATGTATGTATTTTTAAAACAGGAAGTGTGAGAGGGACATATCAAGGGAACATCTCTTTTTAGCCAATAGCCCTAAGTTTAAGAAAGAAACATGATCTGTGATTCACCTTTGTGAAGTAGATGTACTATAATGTCTATCTGCTAGTGTTTCCATCTCGACTACTCCAGTCTGTTCCTCTGATCCAGTCTAACATCACATTCATCTGAGTGCACCGCGCTAACAGGGCCATTTACTGAAGCCGTCAATCACAGCGCCTGTCTAACCAATCATCTTTCACCTTCAGCCCGCTCATCCCGCCCCCTCAAGGACTGTGTTCTGTTATTGACAGGTAATCTCCGTTAGAGAGATCTACTGTCTGTGCGGGACGACATGTTATGAAAGGACAGTGCTGTATTATCTGAGTCTGACAAGACTCATTATAATCCAACATGATGCATCCGAGAACCACAACAACATGGCCAGGTCATGTCATAAAAAAATAACACAAGTATAAATGTAAGAAATCATATTTTGGGAACCTTACAATTGTATGCGTTATAAAATTATTTTGCTAATTTGCGTAACATTTTACCTTAACATTTTTTGCTATGTCTCATTATTGTAATACAGTACTTTGGTACAAAATAAATTGCTGTACTACAATGATTTTTATTTAAATCAGCACATAAATTAAAAGTAGTACATAAGATACTATAATGATGTATAAATACTCTACAATTTAAATGATATAATTTTTTTTTGCATTTCAATAACCAACATTATTTTTAATTTATATTTTATTTTATATATAAAAAAGTTGTTCTACTAATAATCTAATGATTATCAATATTCTCCTGTTTTGCATTTCAGTAATCTTTTTTTATTTATTTATTTATTTTAATTTAATTTATTTTGTATTTGCAAAAATGCATTTCCATTTGATTTTGCTTGTATTTTATTTTATAAACATTTTGTCCTATAATGCTTTTTAGTCAGCATAAATTAAATTACGCACAAGAGATACTATAATGATATATAAATGCTGTACTATTTAAATAATAAATAATAAAAACATTTACCTTTTTTTTTTACATTTCAGTAATCAGAATTATTTTCATTTTATTTTTCATTCTATTAGTTTATTTTACTGTTTTTGCATTTAATTGTTATGCAAACAATATTTAAAATAAACATTTAAATGAGTGTTATTTTCATTATTTCTTTCTATATATATATATATATATATATACACTGTATATTCTTCATTTTTAAATTAATTAATTAATTACTTTTTTATTTTATGTTGTGTTGTGTTCTTTGCAAAATGTAACGGGTTTATTTTCATTAAGCCAAAAAAATAAAAAAAATTAAAAATCGTATTTTCCAGTTGATTTTGGGGTGAAAATGAGCCACAGATGATTTTGACAGGTTTGGGAATGTTTGACAGACTTCAGTATGAGTGTGTGTTTGTCTGAAGTCTGTTGTTGTCTTTGCTGTTCTCTCTGCGATATATAAAGCTCACTGTGTCTTAATAAATTCTCATATTGTCTCCTCACAGCGGATCCGATCCGGGAAGTTATA